GTTGTCTCCGTCCACAACGGGCTTTGCTCCCTAGTTCAAACATATAAAATCAGTAGTCACACTTGCCGTAGGGAGAATCTGGCCCACTGATGTAACTAGGTAGGGCCTGTTATCAGTAGATGGGAGATCGCAACCTCAAGGGGGCCATCTGTGGACGCCCGCGGCCTCAGCCAAAGGCCTGGCGGAAGAGCTCCGTCTCGCAGGCCCTGCGGGATTGCGTAAGATCCCGCGGGGCCCTGATCTCAGTAGGGAGCATGCTCCACCAGGTGGGGGCCAGGGCAGAAAAAGCCCTGGCTGAGGCTAGGCGGACGTCCTTTGGGCCAGGGACAACCAGGAGATGTTGACTCTCCGAGCGTAACGCTCTCCGAAGCATACACAGGAAGAGGCGGTCCTTTAGGTATTAGGCTTACGCCCAGCAAGGCTTCTGTTTGGAATGGACTAAGAAAAGCCCAGGCGCCTTCTGGTTCTCCTGACCCTCCGGTGGAAAACCCCTTCCTTGGAACGAAGGCAGCCAATCACAACCCCTGCCTTACAATGGCCCCGCCCACTTTCTGAAAAGCTCGGCGGGCACCGAGGGACGTACTGGCGGGTGCCATGGGTTGGATTCAGGGAACCCGGCTCTGAGTGATTAAGGATAAGAAACTGCTGGCCGAGCCTGGGCCTTCCCCCTCGAGCGGACTGCCGGAGCCCCGGCGTCAGTTTTCCCCCTACCTGGGCTGCGGTTCAAGTTGGACGGCAGGGCGGCGCCAGACCCGGTGCTGTCGCAGGAATAGTTGCCCTCCTCCAGCGGGCAGATGTCCAGCTTGTTCCACTTCTTGAGGAGCTGCAGCCAGAGAGCCCGCTCTTCAAGCTTGCAGTGGGGACTCAGGACCACGCACACCCACAAGGCGCCTGCGGCAGAAAGGAGAGACCCCCCGGTTTAACGGGCAGCCCCCTGGACGAAAAGCACACTGCGATGCCCCAACCGGAGGACCCCTCGACGGGCTAGCAAACCGGGGGCAGCAGGACCGAGACGGGCTGACCGGATGCACTGAAGGGCATAAAATGCAGACGTCCGATAAAGGGCCAATACTAAAAAACCTAGTTGACACTTAGAATATACAAAACATAACATGTGTTTATTAGAAAGAGATTTGCTTGAGGACACTCTCGCTCTGACTAAGATAGCCACACGGGTGCTTCTTGGACCTAAATTGGAGGAAGAAGAAGAGGAAGAAGAGGAGGAAGAAGAGGAGGAAGAGGAAGAGGAAGAAGATTGGATTTATACCCCACCCTTCACTTGGAGTCTCAGAGTGGCTTACAAACTCCTTTCCCTTCCCCTCCCCCCGACAGACACCCTGTGAGGTAGGTGGGGCTGAGAGAACTCTGACAGAAACTGCTCTTTTCAAGAACACCTGCGAGTGGAGGAGTGGGGAATCAGACCCGGCTCTCCCAGATTAGAGTCCGCGCACTTCACCACACTTCTGATTCAGCAGCTGTGCATCTGGCACCAGACCCATGACATCTTTCGAGGCCTCACAAACACCTTTGCCTTGTGTCTTACCGCTCTTGCTGCTTAACCGTCCTTTTCTTGGTCCGGTATTCACTTACTGGTTATCTTATTGTAATATGTATTATTGTTACTGACAGTATATTGTATTATATCTGGACAAGATGACAGCAAGTTATGATTGTGTTAGATCATCCTGATCTGTGGTGACAGGTTAAGTGTCATGTGACAGTGTGACCAGGTACAGATTGCAACTAGGTTGCATCAGCTTAATTAGTGGTCACCATGAGTCAGCACTGGACTCTGATTGGTGCCAGTTTGTATATAAGGGGAACAGTCCTGATGCAAGTGTTCACACTTGTGAATGTATTGTATGCGAAGCACTTAGCTGGACAATTCGATGATTTGGAGGTGCAAAGTGGAATGGACTGACTGTAAATACTCTGTAAATAAAACCACTGTATATAGCTTCAAACAGCAACCTGAAACTCTTATTATTCGGACGCTTCTAATACGCCGTCAGTTACGTATACCTCGATACTGTTTGACCTCTGAAGAAGGGCCCCCTCCCCCCCCCCGATAGGGCGGAAACGCGTCAGGTCATGTGTATCGGCCCCTTGTGTTCAGGCCACTTGAACTTTTTAGCGAGGCTTTTATTGGGCCCTTATATGTTTTTAACCGTCTTTCTAATAAACACGTGCATTTTTGTACATTATAAGTTTCAACTAGGTTTTTTAATACTGGCCCTTTACCAGACTTCTTTCTTGCCCTTGTGGTTCCTGATTCCAGTTTTTGGGTCAGGTCTGTTTTCCCCTCCCTGTGTCTTAGGGGCATAAAATACAGACCGGCCTTCAGCTGGGGCAGGATCCCCGGGCCATGGAGGAAAAGCTCACGCCCCGCCCCACGCCATACACCTGCTCTTGTCACCCCATATCCCAACCAACGCTCCCTGTAAGTTGTGGAGTCCTGTGAGCAAAAATCCTACTTTGTGAACTACGGGCATTAAAGATGTGAACAAATGATTTGGCTACTGCATAAATTAGTTTGCTCTGGAGCCATCCTTCCTGAGCGAAGACAAAAATGTGTGAGCTGGAGGCTAAAAAACTGTGAGCTAGCTCACACTAACTCAGCTTAGAGGGAACACTGGTCCCAACCAACGCTCCCTGTAAGCTGTGTAGTCTTGGGAGCAAAAATCCTACTTTGTGAACTAGGGGCATTAAAGTTGTGAGCAGAGTTCCCTCTAAGCCGAGTCAGTGTGAGCCAGCTCACAGTTTTTTAGCCTCCAGCTCACACATTTTTATCTTAGCTCAGGAAGGAGGGCTCCAGAGCAAACTTTATGCAGCAGCCCAATCGCTCCCTCACAACTTTAATGCCGGTGGCTCACAAAGGAGAATTTTTGCTCACAAGACTCCGCAGCTTAGAGGGAGCATTGGTTGTGACCGAGCGATTGGGCTGCTGCATGAATTAGTTTGCCCTGGTGGCAACCTTCCTGAGTTAAGATGAAAATGTGTGAGCCGGAAGCTAAAAAACTGTGAGCTAGCTCACACTAACTCAGCTTAGAGGGAACGCTGGTCCCAACTGATGTCTTAGACAGGTGGTAGATGGTATGCAGGTCTGGGGTTTAATGGCACATCAGCAACGATCGCCCGGTGCCAAAACCTAGAGCAGGCCTCCCTTTGAAATTCTGCCACGTAATGCTGGTTGTACGCCTGTGAACGGCCGTCGACAATCACCCTGCTCTGCATGGCCCAGGCTAGCCTGATCGTGTCAGATCTCGGTAACTAAGCAGAGTCGGTCCTGGCCCTCTAAGCTCTGGAGTCCTGTGAGCAAAAATTCTGCTTTGGGAGCTGCCGGCATTTATGTGGTGAGCGAGCGATTTGGCTCCTGCATAAATCAGTTTGCTCTGGAGCCCTCCTTCCTGAGCCAAGACGAAAAGGTGTGAGCCGGAGGCTAAAGAACTGTGAGCTGGCTCACACTCACTCAGCTTAGAGGGCACACTGGAAGGAAGACCACCAGGGAAGTCTAGGGTCGCTATGCAGAGGCAGGCAAGGGCAAGACCACCTCTGA